ATTGAACACTGGGTATGGTATGAATGCTCATAAGGTGAGCATTTTTGTCTGTATTTTATAGGTGGAAAATCAAGAGTGACTAAGAAATCTGACCTACATCATACATAATTTGATTAGGATTTGAATTCAGGCTACCAGATTCCATACTACTTATTCTAAAACACTAAACTCTACAGTTTTCTAGGTGCTCCAAGACCTAGGTCAACTGTAAATGCTAACAATAATTATCTTCTTTTTTTTTTAATCCAGGCACTGTGCTAGGTACTTTAGGGGTAAACTGAAGTCTAAACTGAGTATGCCAGAGAATTGTAACTCTAAACTCTGCAAGATTTGAATGAATGAAGGTCTGGATAATAAAATCTATTTGCCTCATTTCAAAAATTGATGCAGAAATGGGCACTGAGCCCACTGGTAGAAATTTTTGGTCACCTAAGCTGTCGAAAGGTAGAGACAGCAAAAGTTAATTGGGGCTATAAAGAATCAAGTATATCTAAGATCTTCAGCTGGGTGAATACAGCTTGAAAAAATACAATAATTCTCCAGATGATCTTTTTCGGAGGATTTCTAATACATAAGCAATTTTACTGGTTAATGGAAATAATTTCCAAGAAAAGCTCTATGTTGCTGTGTATAAAATGGTTCTGGTTCTATCACTTAATGAACTCCCACTGCATTTCCAGGCTCTATGTGGCCTATGCCTTCCATATTTAAATTTTTTTAAACTTGATGATATTATATTATTTTTTGTGCATGATAAAAACGAAAGGGCTGAATTTTTTAATAAATAGCAAAATAAGAACTCATAGATATGACCAGACGATGATCTTTCTACTATAACAAGCAGTCTCCAAACACCATATGAAAACTTCACTAATTTTCCTCAAGTTTTTCCAAAAATTTCCTAATAGACTCTGACATTTTTTCATTCTTCTCAAACATTTTGCTAAAATAATGGAATGCATTCCTTAGAATCACCATTGCCCTGGAGCTCCTGTAAGATTATTATTATTATTGCACTTGATTCTCATTTTCAGTGTCCTTCACAAAACATTTAGACTCAGAAAAGTTCTTGGGTGTGCTATACAGTAAGAGAAATTCACTTCAGAAATGTCACTACACAACTGAAAGGAATCCCCACTAACACTAGATTCCATGTTAGATTTTTTGTGGCACAGAAACAGCAAGTCTGATCCTGCTTGGCAAGTGCTTTAAAATGATCCAAACAGAACACAATAAATGAACCCAAAAAAGGAAATTTCAGAGAAGGAAAATCACACCACCTTTAAGATTTACAGATAAAAGGGAGGTGGCAAGAACCTCACATATGTGAAAACTGAGAAATGTTAGAAAAGGTCCCAAGTAGAAGGAATATACAAAGAAAGCCTTCCTTTTCTTACCTGGCCTGAGGCTAGGGGAAGGAGGAGCCACTGCCTAGGAGACTCCAGCTGTAAGAGCGCCCCAGGACCCAGAGTAGCCCAAAGATGCAATTCAGATTGGTGGGGAAATAGTTCACAACACAGTCAGTTGCTACATAAGACAATTTGGATGATGCTACAGCCCTGTTTTGGACAAAGGCATATGGAGACGGAGTCTCCCTAGTAGTGGAGGTGCAATCAAGATAGTGAGCGTGTGAAATACTTCCCTTAAATTACTCCCAGTTGTGTAAGTCCTGCCAAACATCCTATGTGACGTTTCTCTTTCTACCATGAAAGCAAATACAAGCGTTCTCAACTGATTAGATTGCTTGCTGTTTTTCTACCAATATAATACATTAATTCCCAGCTGCTCTTCTTTTTTATTTTTATATTGATTTGTGGGCGCCCCCTTGTGGCCCAACCAGTTAGGACGCAGCACTGCAAGCTGGCCGCTGCCGCTTCAGTGAGTTCGACCCCCACCCGAAGGTGATCCACAGGGCACGGCAGACCTCTCCTCATCCTCCACTGCTCCCCTCAGCAGTGTATTTTGTCCATCTGCCTGTTCTGCTCCCCTCTGTCTCTGGTAGAGCCTCTCACCGCCCCTCTACCTCTGGCTTGTATCCCAATTCTATATGAATAAATAAATCTAAAAAAAAAAATCTTGTGAGTATAATAAAGAAGAAAATTTTAATATGATTTGCATTATATTTACAAATTATAGAATGAGGTGTATAGACCAATAAAAAAGCTAATGTTTTTGTTTAAAATGTCTTTTAAATAAAACATTAGTTTTAATTTATTCCCACTCCTTAACCATCTCCGATTCCTCCTCACACTAAACAGGCCCCTTTTTTGTGTTTTAACCACAGCTTTCTTATTCATTATATCTATATTTATTTAAGTTGCTTTTTACACCAGTTTTATATTTACCCATGTTGATAAATGCAGTTCTGGTTCATTCACGTTAGCTTCTATATTGAATTTCATTCTAAGAATAAACCTCAGTTGATCCACTCCAGGTAGGCTGTTTCTACTTTAATATTCAAACAGTGCTTTAAGGACCAATCTGTTCATATTTCCTTGTGTACATGTGCAAGTGTCTCTAGGTCCTCTCCTTGAAGTGGGATTTCTGGGCATAAGGTATGCACCCTCCACTTTACTAGGCATTACCAGAATCATTTCCAATAGGATGTGTCAATTTATACATCTATCAGAAAGATAAAGGGTTCTTGTGCCCACTTTTATCTAATTGATTTTTAAGCATTCTTTTGGAAGTTACTTCAATACGTTCCTCCAATCTATGGTTTGATATTTCACTTTACTAACAATCTTTTAGCATGAAAAATCCCTTAATCATGATGTGGGAAATTGCATATTTTCCTTTTAGGTTTGTGTCTATACCTCAGTGTGATACAGTTCTTCTTTATTTCTTCTAAGTGTTTAAGAAACTTCCTCTTCACATTTATATCTCCATCTAGAATGTATTTGTGTATGCTTTGAGTTAGGGAATCCTCTCATTTTATCTTTTTGTAGATAGTCATTTAAAATAAAGGTCCATCGTTTCACAATGACTTAAAGCTATCTCTGACATATCTCATGTTTCATCCACAAGTGGACCTGATTTCTAGACTATTTTGGTCTGTTGTCTGTTGATAGTCACACAGCTTAAGTTCTAGAATTTTGTAGTAAGTCTTGATACCTGGTAGGGGAGTCCTTCCTAATTACTCTTTTTCAGAATTGCTTTGGCTCCTCTTGTTCTTTATTCCACCATGTAAATTTTAGGATTAGCTAATACTCCCATGAGTGTTTTTTTTTTTGTTTTTGTTTTTAATAACTTGCTGACAGTGACATGAAACTACTTTTTTTTTTTTTCCAGTTTTGTGCTTAGTCAAATCTTTTACATAGTATTCCACCGCTGATCAACACCACAAATAAATGGTGCTACTGGGAAAGAGGAGAAGGGAGCTGTGTAGGGGGAAAAATAGTTGTAACTTCATTTGAAGTTTGATTTTTCCAAATTAATTGTGAGGTTGAGAATAGTTAGTCTTCCCAACCATGATATGTGAATATCCATTTAGTCTTCTTTACATTTTTTTGATAAAAATTAACAACTTTTCCATAAAGATCTTACATATTTTACTAGATTAATTCCTGGATTTTTTTTGGTTTTTGGCTATTTCCTGCATTTGATCTTCTGGGCCACAACTGCAGCCTGTAATTCACCTTTTAAATTATTCTGTTGAAAATTCATGTTTTTTGTTATGTATGTGTGATACAATCAAAATCTCTTTCAGGTGTTCATCTTTCCTCCAGCAATTACACTGAACATGGACTCTAATACTTTAACCTGATCCTTCTGTAGTTGCTAAAATCCCTTGACTGTAATTACCTTCTCTCTGATAAATAAGGGAATTCCTCAGGTACTTTTTGGGGGGAAAAAAAGTCTCCTGGCCCTGAACTCCAGGTGAAGAAGCAGACTGTTAGATCTCTCCTGAGGCACTGAAGCAGTTTCTCTTTGTCTACACAAGCCCTTAGCCCCACCTCACCACTGTGTTAACAGTCAACCCATTCCCTTGCCTTTGTGGACTGAAAGACCCAGATCCCTCCAACAGGTAGAGATCCTCAGATGTTGAAATGCCCATCTTTCTCAGGGATACTCTGGGCTCCTGAGCTGATGCTGCTGACATTTGCCCAGTTCTTTCAGAGAAGCCATCTGCTGGCTCTAGGGCCAAGCTCAAACAGCTGGGATTTAGTAATGGAAGCCATTATGATCCCCAAAATCCACCAATGATGTATTTTCTACTTGTTTCTCTATAGTTTTGTGTTTTTTGTTTGTTTGCAGCACTGTGGTTAGTTGGCCAAATCTTTAATTTAGTATTCCATCCTTGTTCCACATTTATGAATGGTACTTTTGGGAGTAAAGGGAGATACTGCAGATGCTCAAAGAAAATGCAAAAATGCAAAACATGATCAGCATTATCCATCTGCTTTTTTAGATTTACAGAAAGATTAGAAATTTTGTTACATAAGCATATGACCTAAGTGGTTTCTGTTGTTGCTGGTGCTCCTTTGTTTTTTGTTTTCATTTTTGTTTTAAACACCAGGAACACTGAGATTCAGTTTGAAAGACTCCCTTAATTCTTAAGCGTAGCATACACCAATTCCTCCCGCTCTCCCCCCATGAAATCTAATTGGTTTGAATGGACAGAATGATCCATTTGTCCAATTTAAGTGGGCAGATATTTGTAAAAAATGTTTGCCTCATTTATCACAGAAATTTAGAAGGAAGGAAGCCTTTAGGATAATTTTTACGTGGCAATATAAGAAGACTAGTACGCAGATTCAAGTGAGACTTTTAACATGAGCTTGTTGAAAGAAACGTTAACAATTCCAAAACGAACTTAAACGAGTTTTAACTTTTCCTCTCAAAAGCACAAAAAAATGATGGAGAGGACGTTAACAGCAAATTCTTAAAAGGCAAAAATAACTCTTCCTCGTAGTAGTCCTTGGGTAGTTACCATCGAACTGGTTCTTCTTCTCGTTTGATTTCTTTGCAAACGGATCAGGTCCCAAGTCTACTCCTACTTAGTATCTGCTCCGGCCTCCCCCTCTCTCCGAGCGGCTTCCAAGGCGGCCTCCGCCCCTGGGAACCCAGCGGCCCGACCGGCTGTAAGAATCACGAGGGGGCGGACACCCCCTCTCCATGGACGGCGGGAGCCCGCGGTCGGCCCTGCCTACCCGGTCGCGGCCCCTCGAATAGCGGTCGCTTCGGCCGCCGCCGGCGTAACTGTCGCGGCCTCCTCCGTAGGCGTCGGGCGAGCAGCCGCGATACTCGTCGTAGCGGCCTCCCCCGCCGTAAGATGGCGGCGGCCCCCGCGCAGGGGCGGCGCTGCGCGGGTCCCCGTAGCTCTCGAAGGGGTCTCGGTAGGAGCCTCCGCTGGGATGATCCGCGTAGTCGCGGTCGCGCCCCCCGTAGCCGTCTCGGTCGCCGTAGCCTCTCGACGGGCAGTCGTCGCGGGCGCTGGAGTGGCCGTAGTCGCGGTAGGTGTACTCCCGGGGCGAGGGAGCAAAATCTCGGGGGTCGCGGACACTCGGGTAGTCGCGGCTCGAGTAGCTATCTCTGGGCGAGTAGCCCTCCTCCCGGGGACCCAGG